TCAGCAGTTCCTTAGGCAGTGGCTGCATGACCTGATGGAGTTTCTGCTCCCTTTCTATTGCAACTTCATTCAGGAAGCAGGGGGTGAAGCAGCAAATCCCCTGGTAAGATTTGTTTAGAAATCACCTCGTCCAAGTGATCAGAAGCTCATTTTCCTGTACTTTGTGTTCCTGGTGTTACATAGCCCTGGGGAAACACGAGCAGTTGTTGAATGCCATAATCCCATATCCATGACCACAACTGGGACCTTACTGAGCCTCCCTGGATGTCTTGGAGTTGTTTCCAACAGGTTTAAGTGCCAATTCGAAGGCTGGCAGTGAAAGGAAGGAGGTGTATGTGAACACAGTGTTTGGAGGTGGCAGACACACAGCTGACCATGTCCTCAGAGACACTTGGGCCTTGTATTACTTGCAGTAAAAGCTTTTGAGGCTACTTGCAGGCAAATTGGAGCCCCTGGCTGAGAAGCTGGGGCTGCCATTAGCTCTCCTTGCAGTCCAGTGCTTCATCATTTGGTTTCTAGTGAGTCCTTAGGTGTTGCATAGATGCTGTAACAATTTAGGAAGGCTCAATTAGGGTCGTTTCACTTAATCCTCTGCAATGCTTTGTTCCCTAAAGAGAAAAAAAAGCATCTTGTTTTATTTCTGATTGTGTTCTTCAAATGTTTCTCTTGTTTGGCATCACTTGTGTTTCCTATCACTACTAATCATGGCTCTGTCATGAGCTCATCTCTAAAAGCCTTGAGTGCAGTAAAAGTCAGAAAATGCTGAAGCTGCTTGCTTCTTGACAGCTCAGTAAGACAGTGGTTAGGAGGGTCTGTGGGCTTGCCTGTATCTCCTGCCCCTTTGCCTTCTGCTGCCTTTCATGCTTTTGTGCTATTATTGCAACAGTCCAAGTCTCCTTTTCTCTGCAATGAGTTATCATGTTGTCTGAGTGCTTTTCTTCTTGGCCCTGATTTGATTTCACACTCAACCATCTCATTCAGCTGTAGTGATTTGAGCTGTGCTGTTTGCTGTGTCCTGTCAGCAGGGGATGAAGGTGTTCTGCACTGTTAACTGTTGCACTGTGGGTCTAAACATCTTCTCCTTTATTGCAGTTGCTAAACAAACCAGAAAACTGCTGTGGACTTAAGGAAAGTCAAATCCTTTCTCTGCTTAGTGACATTGGTATGTAGTCTGATGCCTTCCTTGTGGTTTGGGGTTTTTGGATCTCCTTTACTGGGTAATGGCATTCTGCTTTCTCAGCTGACCCTGAACAGGAGACTAACAAGAGCAGGGTGTTAGAACAAATCATGTTTCTGTTGCAGAAGAAGGACTTGGTGTCCCTGCAGGTCAGAGCCCCAAAGTTCACCCCCAGTCTGTGGAGTGGGACTGGAAGAGCTGTGTAATGGTCAGTTGTAGGTAACATGACCTTAAGGTCACAGTTAAGGTTCAAACCTCACTTGTTAAGGTTCAAACCTCGTTTCTGATGATGCCAAACCACACTTGACTTGAGGGAATGTAACTTTTCCAAGCCAAAAAGCAATGATCCATGTGAGAAGTGCCAGAGGTGCCCTGTGGCATCTCTGTCTAGGGTTGGCTCAGTGTCATGGGAAAGTTTGTTGGTTCAGGATGTCAGAGGTCTGATATCACGTGGATTTGGGATTCTGCAGGGTGGGATAGCCCCAGATGACAGCACTGCCCACAGGAAACAATTCAAATTGATGCCTTTTGGTGCATGCTTTATGCAATTTCCCAAGGCTGTAGTAATCCATGGAAATCATTATGTGACACAAAGTTGTATCCCAAAGTGTTTAATCACACACCTCCTTTTATAAACTTGAGCTGTAGCTTGAGTTGGTGCCAAATTCTGAGAGCATAAGAAAGTTTAAAATGTGAGACTTGAAACTGTCCTTGCAGTCCATCAGAGAGTGCCCTTGGACACTTCCTGACACTTATTGGACACCTTGGGAAGGAGAAGTCATCTAATTGAGGGTTCCTCTAGGAATTCAGCTTTCCAGGAGAGCTCCTCGTTTAGTTCTCTTACAGATAACCTGTCCCTACTTATAGGAATGGAGCTAGTTTTGGCATGAGAAAGCATTTTGGAGTACTGGCCTGGACTTCTTGCAGTGCTCAAAGGGCTTCCAGTTGAGTTCCTGGAATAAAGATCAACTCTGCTTTCTTCATCCTTGTTTGCTTTCCCCTTCCAGAATGGGGTTTGTGTCATAGTAAGCTGAATGTCTTTGGCATTGCAATGCAGTGGAGGAGAAATGCAAGTTAGAAGCCTTTAAATGTATAAGTGAGTGGTGATAAATCACTGAAGGTTGGGGATTTGTCCCTGATACTAGGTTTTTATCAGATGTATCTTTGATCAATGTGGGTTTATATTATGTTAAACATCTCTTTCAGGGTCTGGTATCCAATATCTGCATGAAAACAGAATTATACACAGAGATTTAAAGCCTGAAAATATTGTTCTTCAAAATGAAGGTGGGAAGGTAAGTTAGGAGTAGCACTGTCAGGGGTGTTCCCACTGTCACTTCTGCAAATTGTCACAATGGAACTGGAGTGAAAACTCAGCTGTGAATTCACTCTAAGCTTTAACACTGTCACATGTCAAAGCTTCACCATGGGCTTTCTCCAGGGTTTCCTTCTGCCTTTCCTCTTCTTGAGTGCATCTTGTGGATGTCACACATTGGATGTCATTGCATGTGACTTTGGGTTGTTTGGTGGGTTTTTCTCTTGGCATTTCCTCTTCTGATGAACTGTTTGAACCATCTGCAGATTGTGCACAAGATAATAGACCTGGGCTATGCCAAGGACCTGGATCAGGGGAGTTTATGCACTTCATTTGTTGGAACATTGCAATATTTGGTAAGACTTTTTGGTGTCACCAACACTAGGGCAGGGCAGATGGGACTTGGCCTAGCCAAGCTCTGGAACCTCCCAAAATGGGCATCCTGGGGACCTCTTTCCAGGGGAAAAAGTTTCCTCATGTCTATCCTGAGCTTCCCAGATAGTCACCTGGGGCTGTTGCCCCTCATTGTACCACCTTCAAGGGGAGTTTGATCCCATCCATCCCTTCCTGTGGCATGGTTGGGGGCTGCTTTCAGCCTCCCCACAGGCAGACCCACCAAGCCCAGCTCCTACCCATCCCCTCGTGGGTTGGGGCTCCAGCAGACACCTGCATCAGTGTTCCCATCCCACTCTCAATCTGGAAGCCACGCCTGGACACAGGTTTGTCTGTGCAGAAATGCAAGGAAATACCACTGTCCAAAGTGTCTTGTTATGCTCCGTTTTAGGCTCCAGAGCTGTTTGAGAACAAATCCTACTCGGTGACAGTTGATTATTGGAGCTTTGGGACGATGGTGTTTGAGTGCATTGCAGGGTTCAGACCCTTCTTACATAACCTACAGCCATTCACCTGGTAAGACACTCTGCTAGAGGTGCATGTGAGTCCTTGGTGCAGTCTGTGGGAGCCTCTGGTCATGCTAATTCCTTCACAAGTGACTTTTGAATCAAAAAATAGAATGATAAACCAATCTGTGTATCAGGAAAATGCAGCGGGAAGGAGTGATCCGGTAAGTAAATGGCACACAGCAAGACAGAGCGCCTTTTGTGTAGTAAACACAGTTATGTCTTTGTAAGTGACTTGAAAGTGATGCTGAAGGGCTTTAACCTGTGTGTGGAGGTTTCTGTTTGCTCTCTGAGGGCTGGAAGAAGGGGCAGAAATATGTATCTTTGTATTTCCACTGCTGTTTGCTGTACCCACAGTGTGTGTTTGCTTGGCTCTTCAAAGGGTGATTCTGCAACAGGAAAGATAGGAAATTTGGGGTTCTGTTGGCATGGAAGTAGTATGGAGAGGAGGTAAACCTGCCAGAGACAGAGCTGATTGCAAGGACTCTTCTCACATGTGGAGATGTCCTGGGTGGATTGAAAATGGCATCCTTGTCCTGAAAGAAGAGTTAGTTTCTAAAGGTGTAGGCACTGGCACTTTCTGCTGCTTTGCTATTCCACTGGCCCCTCACAAAAGTAACCCTGGCAGGATATCCAAAAATAATTTTGTTTTCTAGGCATGAAAAAATCAAGAAGAAGGACCCAAAGCACATCTTTGCCTCTGAAGAGATGAACGGGGAGGTTCGCTTCAGCACCCACCTGCCACAGCCTCACAGCCTCTGTGGGTGAGTGTGGCCTTAGCACAGCAGATAACTCTTGGTTAGACTGAGGGCTCTTCCTCCTGTATTGCAGGCTCTGAGGGCTCCTCCTCCGTCCTCCTCAGGCTCCTGGCAAGCTGCAGTTTGCTGTTATTCCTTCACCTGTAGCCACATGGCTCCTTTTTGGATGCTTTTTGCTCTCCAGTGCCCATTCACCCTGCAGCTTCTGGGCAGCACTGTGAGCTCTGTGTCTGCTTTCCACCCATTAGCACAAGGCCAGTGAGTTTCATCTACCTGATAACATGATGAGTTTGGATCTCATGAACCGAATATTTGAGTTAGCTTTTCCATGGAAGCAGGAGCTGTGTTGAGAAAACTGCTTCAACTCCAAAGCTGGTCAGAGCCTGTTGAATAGGGCACAGTAGGAGAGGCCCAGGAAGCTTGGCTGCTTCAGTCTCGTGAAGGGAATATCTGCCTCCCCTTACAGCTGTTCTGCTTCAGTTTGATTGTAGAACCCATGGAGAATTGGTTGCAGCTGATGCTGAACTGGGATCCACAACAGAGGGGAGGAGGTTCAGATCCTGAGACTAGTCGTCCTAGGTGTTTCCTGATAATGGATCACATACTGAATCTTAAGGTGAGTGAGGGTTCTGGCCTGGGTTCAGAGGCCTTCTGAATTCATCCCAGAGGACACAAGGTGTGTTCAGTAGAGCAAAGCTGCAATCCTGGCATCATCCAGCTTGCAGGGTCATGAGGAATTTGTTCTTGGTATCAGGAAGTGAGTGCAAATTCAGCGTGGAAGGCACTGGAATAGGTTGCCCAGGGAGGTGGTGGAGTCACCCTGGAGGTGTTTAAGAGGTGTCTGGATGTGGCACTGGAGGATATGGTTTAGGGAATTCCAGCAGTAACAGGTTAATGGTTGGACTTGATGATCTTAGAGGTCTGGTTTCCTCCTGATGATTCTATGGAAATGTCTCCTGCGATATCCACCTCTAGCTTTATGCTTGGAGTAAAGGATGTACTAGTTCTTTTTTTTTTTTTCTTTTCTGCGTTGGAAAAGACCTCAGAGATTATCGAGTCCAGCCCTACCATCGTTACTAGACCATGGCAGTAAGTGCCACGTCCAGTCTCATCTTGAAAATCTCCAGGGATGGTGAATCCCCTGGCAGAGCTTGACTCTGTGCCCTCTTGTTCTACTGCTAGTTGCCTGCGAGAAGAGACAAGCCCCCACCTGACTACAACCCCCTTTCAGGTAGTTGCTACTACTTAAGCTGCAGTGTGGCCTCTGAGTCTGTTGTTGTGTTTGACTGTAATTGCTCTGACACTAAAAGTGACAGGCCTAGGCTCTGAGAGTTTTTTTGTAGGACTTTATGTGAATTGGTTGTTGTAGTCATTAAAACTCCAATGATGCTCTTGTTCTGGCATGTTAATTGCTATGTGTTCCCTCCCTGTGTGCCTTTGTCTCTGATTTTCAGATCTACTTGTGCTCTTTCTACAGATAGTTCACATCCTGAATATGACCTCTGCCAAGATTGTGTCCTTCCTTCTGCACCCTGAGGAAAGCCTTCACTCCCTTCAGAATCGCATTGAGTTTGAGACTGGGATAAGCTCTGGGAATCAGGAACTGCTGCTGGAAACAGGGATTTGCCTGGACCCTCGCAAACCTGCTTCCCAGTGTGTCATTGATGGCGTGGTGAGGATCATTCTGCTCATTCCGTGTCTTCCACATCCTCAGGGATTTAAAATCTTAGGGAAGATAAATTGTTCTGGTCTTCTCCCACTTGCTCTGTAAGTGTAGTAACTCCTAAAGCTTTTATTGGATAATGTAAGCACATTTCTATAGTTATACTCTGCCTAAATAGTGAACTATTTGCTGGCAAAGGCTCCTGTGTTTGTGGGATCTCCCCAAATCAGGTTTTAAGGCACTTGAGAAGAAGAGAGTCTGCCCACAGCAATTAGATTATGATGCAGCCAGGACCCTCTGGGTTTTTAGGAGCTGTGTGGGAATTCCCTTGTTTACATTCTCTTTTCTTTCCTCCCCAGAGAGGCTGGGACACCTACATGGTCTATCTGTTTGATAAGAGCAAAACTGTCTATGATGGTCCCTTTGCTTCTCGGAGCCTGTCTGACTGTGTCAATTACATTGGTGAGTGAGCTGGGGCAGTGCTGCTTCTCCTCGGAAAGGGAAGAGCTGCCATACAGATCCCTGTGTGACACCTTGAAAGGGCACTGTGATTCCAAGAGAACCACTATAAGAATCTGAAGCAGCCCAACAAAGTCTCACTGAAGTTCTGTATCTCTACATTTGTAGATATAACAGTTCAGAGACTTTCCTGCTCATGCTTGGGAACTCTCCTATAGAGCAATTGATGCTACCAAACCCCATCCCAACATCCTGACCTTTTTGCCTGGTGCTGTCTGTGATAGCTGCATTCCAGCTGTGGTGCATCTCTCATGTCTTGTCCAAGCCACAGAACAGGTCCCTTATTCTTTGCTGCTGATCCTTCAGGCTCTGTGTGAGGAAATCCACCTGGCAGAGCACTGACACCATCAGTGTGTGCTTCTAGGCCCTGTATGAAAACTGCTTCTCTGCTTGCTGCTTCCCTTCCATGTCTCCTGAGATGACAGCAGTCATCTCCAGGGCCTACAGACCTCTCTGAAGGTTTATATGTCCCAAATGGATCTGTTTGAAGGACTCTGTATCCCTCTACGAAAGAAAAAGTAGTATCAGGGTACAGGAGATGTCTCCTGGGATCCTGCATGTAAAGAAAAGGCCTTGTGACCTGCATTAAGTAGCTTAATTTTCTTTGGCCTGCCTGCACTGGTTTTCCTCATCTCCTTTTCCTGTCACTCAGGTTTATTCTAATTGGTTTTTCTGTGTTCTGGGCTGGTTTATTCTGATGATCTCATTGACTGGCACCACTGTGTTGAATCTCTTGGTGCAAAGGCTTTTAACAACATGTTTATTGTTCCCATCTCTCAGGGCAAACACACAATGTCCTGCATCTTTTCCCCTCCAACCTTCCATCACATCTGGGAGGAAACTTCTATTTGAAGACATTTTCAGCTGAAACATATCAGGACAATGACCAATATCAACTGATTAAGTGGAGCCATTAAATTTGCTTTGCTAGCTTTGCTAGTTTTTTTGATCAAACCCTCATGGGTGCTGCTTTGGGCCAATTTTCGTGCAGTATTCGTGCTGATAAGCCCAAAAGCTCATAGCAATCAGTGCTGTTGTAGCTGTGAGTTCAGACTTGATCTCTTCCCGGTCCAGGTTGTCACATACATGGGGACATGACATGAAAAACTTCATGTGAAAACAGCAGAACTTAACCTGGCTTGATCCCTTAAGCACCTAAAGCAGGAATTATGAACATTGAAAGCACTTAAGTCCTTTCTGGTTGTATTTTGACTGTGTTTGTGCTCAGTCCAGGACAGCAAGATCCAGCTGCCAATCTCTCAGCTGCGCAAGGTGTGGGCAGAGGCTGTTCACTATGTCATTGGGCTGAAGGAGGACTACAGCAGGCTCTTCCAGGGCCAGAGAGCTGCCATGTGAGTACTCACTCCTCCAGGAGAACCACTGTTGTGCCAACACAGAAGTTGTTCACTAAGAAATGGATGTCTCGGGGAGTTTGGGTTCCCCAGAGTTTTACAGCCTCTGCTGTTTATATATATATGTATTAGACAGAAGTTTCTCCCTGTGAGGGTGGTGAGACACTGGCACAGGTTGCCCAGGGAGGCTGTGGCTGCTCCAACCCTGGCAGTGTTCAGAGCCAGGTTGGCTAAAGCCTTGAGCAACCTGTTCTGGTGGGAGGTGTCCCTGCCCAGGGTAGGGGGTTGGCACTGGATGATCTCTAAGCTCCATTCCAACCCCTAAAATTCTATGATTCTATGAGATCTGTGCTGGGAGCTTATCCCATTCCAGGAATTCTACTGTGTAGTGCCTGGCATGGGTAATAACTAACAAAAATTTGAGTATACTCAGAGACTCACAGAATGGCTGAGGTTGATGGGGACCTCAATGTGCTCCAGTCAAAGCCGTGCTCACCTAGAGCTGATTGCCCAGGACCACATCCAGATAGCCTTTAAATATCCTCAGGGATGGAGACTCCACAGCTGGGTAGCTTGTGCCTCTGCTGACTTATCCTCAAAGTAACAGTGTTTCCTCTTCTTTAAATCCAGCTAACGTGTTCTGTTCTTGTTTCACCTGTCAGGCTCAGTCTCCTGAGATACAATGCCAACCTGATCAAAATGAAGAACAACATGGTATCAGCATCTCAGCAGCTGAAAGCCAAGCTGGAATTCTTCCATCAAAGCATTCGCCTTGACCTGGAGAAATATAGTGACCAGATGGCTTATGGCATATGTGAGTGTTGGGGAATACCTGCCTGGGTGTCAGAGCTGGTCCTGGAAAGGGTCAGAGTGATGCTGGAGGACTGAGGGTAAGGACTAGCTTGAGAGAAGATGAATGCAGGAGCTGCTGTTGTGTGGCTTAGCATCTTTGTGGGTGTGTTTTAGCTAGGGTAGCTGCAGGAGAAGAGCTGGGCAGAAGCAAAGGCAGGAGGATGAAAAAATAGAACATTTTGGGGGCCTTCAGTGATATTGAGAACAAGGAAATGGGAGCACTAATATTACTGGTTATACCAATTTTTGCTGTTTATTTGTTTGGAGCTGTCACTGGACACAAAGGAGGGCAGAGTTGCTGCACTTGCTGACAATGGAAGGGCTGCTGTGCTTGATATCCTGAGGTACCATTTGTCCGCATGAGAGATGGGCTGAAAAAGCACCAGCTACAGCTGGAATGTCCCAGAAATGTCTGAATTTTGCAAATATTGCTCAGGGAAGAACAGCAAGATTTACACAGAGTTTGAATATATGGCTAAAACCTGCAGTTTGAGTCAAAATATGACTGGGTTGAAGGATGGTGATGGAAAATGGAAAGACTCAATGAACTGGTTTTGGACAGTCTGTGTTCAATCAAAAGTGGCAGTTGTTGAGCTTAATGGGGGAGTTGAAAGACTCAAACTTGTTTTAGGCAGATGATTGCAAACAGTGAAAACAACCAAAGGGTTTGGGTGTGAGTTAAGGTCAAGCACAGAGCTGCAACTTTGCTATCTCTCTGTTACCCCTGGAGATTTAGCATCACGTTCTTTGTGCTCAAATCAAGCTGATGAATGCCAAGTCCAGGTCTTGCTTTATTTTTGTGTCTGTATCTTTGGATAAACTAACAACTCTTTTCTCTTAAGCCTCAGAAAAGATGCTCAAAGCCTGGAAGGAAATGGAAGAGAAAGCCTCACTGTGTGCACAGGTAAGGGATATTCAAGCTGCTTCATTATCTCTGTGTGAAGGAGATGGTGACAGGAACTTAGTGTGACATATGTGCCACTGCTCTGTCCCTGCAGTGTTTTCCATCCTGCTGCTGTGGGAATGGGAATGGGAATATCATTGCAGGTGCATGAAAAAAACAGTCTCTTGTCACCAGGTTGTTTGAATGTGGTGATTTGGACAAAACCAACACAAATGTCACTAGACTCGGTCCTCTCTAGAGGAAAATAGGCTATAGAGACACTTCCTGCCCAAAAGAAATGGTGTTGCTGTGGACAGGAGTCTTCCTCGTTGGATTTTCTGCACAGAATTCCCATTGCTAAAGCTGAAAACAATACCAATCACTTACACTGCAGTGATTTCTAAATTGCAGGGCTTCATTTAGGAGCAGAGACAGAAATCACTGGTGTTCTACAACTAAATATGCAGATTAGGTTTTAATAAGAGTCATCCTTAAGAAATTTGGAGCAGAGGTAGAGTTTGAGCATTGGCTCTTGAAGCAATACAGAGCATAGTGGTTAATTCATACAAATCCCAGGCACGATTAGAAACACAATCAATGTCATTGCCTGTTTCTTCCCCCTGGGAAGGAATAGGTTCTGGATTCCATTACCTATCTAAAGGCTCTTGGAGTCTTGATTCTGCTTGCTCATGTGATGGAGACAGAGGAATTGGGATTCCTACCTGAATTCACCTCTGTTATGCTCTTGTTTCTCCTTGTTAGGAAGCAAGAAAATAGATTATTCTAGCAGAATAATTCCAAGCGGTCTCTGGCTGTCTCCAGACCAGCAGGAACCTCAGCAAACATTGACTCTCCAAACCATCAGAGTTACGTTCTGTCGTTCCACGTGTGCAGTCACAGTGTGTCCCTTTGTCAGGAATGGAGAATGTTTTACTCTGATATACAAGGCTAATACACAGCTTAACCTCTGTGAATTCCAGGCACACACACAGATGATTTATGAACTGATTTTCCTCACCCAGTGTGGTAGTCAGAGGTTTGGATCTGAGTCATGTCATGCACTGAGAACAAGAACCATCATGAGCTTTCTTTTCTCCTGAACTGTCCATGATCCAAACAACTGTTCTGTTTGCATCTTTATCTACTTGATTTCTCTCCTTCAGGCTGATCTGTACCTACATTTCTCCATTAGGCAGAAGACATTGGCTACCTGGATGAGCAGATCATGGCTCTGCACACAGAAATCGTGGAGCTCCAGAAGAGTCCCTATGCAAGGCGCCAGGGAGAGGTCATGGAGAGCTTGTGAGTAATTTCCCTCTTGGTTTTATGGCATATAAATGCATTTTGTGTATTTCAGTGTCTGAGGGGCTTTATTTTCCCTCTCTGTTGCTGGTTTCATCAGGACTTTTGAAATGCCAACTGCAAGTGCAGAGTAGTGATTGGTTTAAGATTTTGCTAGTGAAAGGGAAGATCACACCAATTGTGGGACAATTCTCTGTCACTGATCTATTAAACCTCAGCTTACAAGAGCCTGGTCATAAAATACCTAACTGCGTGAGAGTCACTAAAGCTCAGTGCTGGTCCTGC